AAGAAGGAGTAAGGAGACGAGTGTTCTTACGCAGGAACAGAAACTATACAAAATGCTCGGTATGTGTATTTGGATTACAGTTTACGAAATGAAATTTGGTTGAACTTAACTCTACAAATTTAAGCTTAGATAAAAGTAGGTTTAATGTAACTTAATTTATCTTTGAATACTTTTATTCTAAACGTACATTTATAAAAATGAAACTTGTTTGAGTGATATTAATTAAAAGCAATTTCAAATATATAATTATTAAAAAGCATATGAATTTTATACCGTAATATTAATATTATTTATTTTATTATTTTTAAATATACTTGAATTAATAACATGTTATTATTACATTTAATAAAATTGATTCTAATTTTATAAAAAAAATTAAAAAATGTGAAAATATATACATGAAAGTATAATTTTAATTAACTAAGCACAATATAAAAGACTGATGATGGATTGTTTCTTATTATTATTTTATACAATTAGAATAACAAATTCAATGCAATTATTGAAGCTAGCAATTAATTCTTTGTCTTCTACATGGGTGTCCAGTGTACTGATATTTTAACATTTATTATTATATTTTGATTGTACTAATACCCGAATGTATTAATGCCTCCTTTCATCCTGTCCAAGGTAAAAGCAAGGAATCGAAGCTCTGAATTGATCGGCCATTTTGAGATAAATGATGTTCAACTCAACAAAAAATAAAAATTGTAAAACATACCGATGTCATGTTCAATGAAGATTAAATCGTTGATTCGAGGATCCAAACACAACCAAAGTCACTCTTAGAAGCTTGGAATAATGGTGTTCTTGGGCTTCACGATTCACGAAACCCGTAAGGGCTGCTCAAATCCGTAGACTTTCCAAAAGGTAAGTGAAAGATATACATTGTGAGAATAAAATAATTCACAACTTCATAATTATGAAGACAGTGTTCTAGAATATTTTTCTTTTATAAGCGATGTATAGACGGGACTTTTGTTTTCCTTATTTTGTAAGTGATGCTTACATGCAATAAGTAATATATTGTCAAGGTGAGTAGAAGACAAAAAGCGTATCAAAGCTTCCAAGCTCAGAAGGAAGTTTCTACAAGGCGTTAAGGCTTTCATTAAAAGACATTTCCGTAAGATCCAACAAGTCTACCGAAGCAACAATTTGTTGTCTTTCACGAAAGTGCAACTTTGGAATCACTTTGTATACTACAAAATCACGTAATTAACGTGGTTTTAAATAAATGTTCGCATGCATGTTAGGAAAACCTTATCAAGTTTTACCATTAACTTGCTATTTTAATATACCATATCAAAATACAAATCCCTTCACCTCAAAATCAATTTCATTTAAAATTAATTTTGTAAATACTTGGCTGTTATATCCCTCATTAGAGAAATAGAACAGCTTCCAAAACCACTCTTTTGAACAAACCCTATACACAAATAGTTAATAAGAATTACATCCTATTTAATAATAGATAAAACTTAAAGTACAGTTTTTTAAATGTAATTAATACTGTTTTCTGAATAGTCAAAATTTTACTTTGATATTATACATTTACATTTAATATAAGTCTCACTAATATATATATTTACACATACTAACAAAACAAAATTCCAACCTTGATTGAAAAATAATATCAATCACATAAAAAATACTGTACCTAAATTTTGCTCTTTAGTAACTCTTTTGTTTTTGTGATTTTCAATAAATCATAATCAAGAGGAGTGTTGATAATATACTTCTCTCAACACACTCACATTTATCGGAGAGAGTGTAATAAAAGAAATATATTAAAAAGTGTGTGGCTGACACTCTTCTACTTCATTGTACCATCTGCCACCAGTGCACATGGTGCGCTGATTCCATGGACGTAATATTGTAAAACACTCTGAATAAGTGATGTGCATGTTTGCAACCAAATGATAGGAAATATGAGGATTGACTATGCATGTTAAAAACATGACAAAGCAACTACCATTCAATAAGTGAATGTTTTACACATCAACTCATGAAGAATGTACATAACTAATTCAGCCAAACGTCGTTTCTTGCCACTGGCATAGAACCGACCAATCATATCCTTGTCTTGAACTACTGCAGCTTCAAAATAAATCTATTACCAGAGAACCACAATGCAATCGTTTTTTTTTTCCCCCCTTTTTCTTTTTAAGATCTGTACAATACTGAACTGATATTAGCTGTCAGGAGAACAAGGGCTTCATTCACAAAGATTCTTGGCCTCTGAAATGCTATGACTCGTTCTTGCTCATTAGTGTAGGTGTAACTGAAACAACACCAATGAGGAACAAGGTAGCAATTGAGTTGAAATCATAGAGATCCCCAACGGATTGTAACTCTCCAAGAGCCAAACCAGCCTGCATAAGAAAACCAGAAACTCAAACACAACCACATTGACAGTTGAAATTCTAATTCTCATGATTTATTTTAAGATTTAATAATTAATAAGACAAAAACTCATCAAAATGTCAAAATATTTCGGCTAACATGACCCTTTTCAGAAGGGAAAGGCAGAGAATATTATCCAACATAGGTATAGTAGAATGTGAACGTTATTTCAGTTTCCAATTCAGATTAACTTATGATTTGCAGAGCCAAAAGCTGAAGTGCAAAAACAAATACTTAGAATAATTATTTTGATAGTAACATACCTTGACTGTGACATAAGCAGCAGGAATCAGTCCAATAACAGTTGCCATGAAGAAAATATGATAAGGCACATCCACGATTGGTGAAGCAAAATTAATAAATGTATTGGGCAGGGTCGGAGTCAGTCTCAGAAAAAGCATGTAGTTCAACAAACTCTTTCTTCTTTTAGCCACCTGATGATAAAAAATAGAAATTTAGTCCCATGTGTAGATTGGACCAGATAAGATCCAATGTGATGTGAAATTAAAATAACCAACCTGTGTTTGGAAGAATTTCAACTTTTCAGGCCAGAGAGAGGAGAGAATAGGTCGTCCAATCAGTTTAGACAGGAAGAAGCATGAAGAAGCTCCTGCTGTGGCAGTGAACACAACTAGAGCCACACCTTTAAAGACTCCAAATAGTGCTCCAGCCAGCAATGACATGAACACAGTCCCTGGAATCATGAAAGTCTGCATGAATATATAAACCACGCAGTATCCCACCAAGACTTGTGCAGTGTAGTCACTTGTATAGCTCTCAAGGTTATCTCTACAAAATAGATAAAAGATAGATAAAGCATTGCAAAATTTATACTGTCGACTTCCCACTCTACATTCATGTCCACTACATTCCAATTTCTACAGAAGCACAAACATTTAAAATAAAAAAGTGGTGAAATTAAATCCACACATTGAAATGAAATGCAAAGTCAACACACTATCTAAAAACATAGTAGAGTCCATCATTTAACCTGATCCCATAGTAGATCAAATAATTGAGAAAACAAATATTTGTTTTGTTAACCCTGGAAGAAATTTAGAAGGCTTTGTGTCAGATAGACGCTTCTTCTCCATTTAACCACTCCAAGTGATGGCATTTACTATTGAAGCATTGGTCCAACAATACTTGCACGAGTTGTGATCTATCTATGGAGATCGTAAGGTAAAGTGCTCCTCTCTTTATGCCTACATCCTTGATGCAAAACACACCCCTTGCGTACATTGAGCATGTTTGGATAAAATTCTAGAAGGACTTTTAAGAGTTTTTATATTGAAAAATATTTTTCATTTTTAATATAGAAGCTTTCAAAGACCCTTCTGGGTATCCTAAAAGGCTCATTATCCAGTAGGATGCAAGTCAAACAGAATAAGAGGGTTACACAGTTCACAGTGCTCCCTCATAGTGGGAGGGAAGATGTATGCAGGCTTACCCTTGCAAGTTGCAAGCAGAGACAGTCTTAAGGATTTGACCCGTGACATCCATTTCACAAGGCAACAACCATACCTTGCACCAAGGCTTGTCCTCACAAGTCAAACACAACGGAATTATAAAAAATACATCCTGCAAGTCACAGCCGCAAAGCTGAAGAGTTGGTTGGGGTTGCAACTATTTTTTTATTTATTAAAGATGGAAACAAGTTTGTCAAAAAAAAAACGAAAGAAAAAGATGAAAACAAGTTAGAACCTAGGACTAACTGTAAACTACACAAAGTTGTCATTAATGGAACCCTATACCAGAATAGCACGTGAACCCTCAACCAATATACACTCGCAAGTAAAAATGCCAGCTTGTTGACTCAAAGCACAATTCCCAATTAATTATTATAGCACATTACCACCTATGAATAAAAACAAACCTAATATTCTCATACTCACTCCAAGCTGCTGGATCCACCGAAACCCAAATACCCTTTTCAGATCTGGTTTTTTCCGAAGAAAAAACAAAATTAAAATTGGCACTTATATTTACAAAGAAACCTTATGCACCACATTCCCAAATGATGATTTCACGAAATCATCATCATCGCTGACTGAAATCACAGTTCCGGGTCAGATCTTTTCAATGAACGAACCCAAAACGACAATCAGAACATCCATTAAACGTCAATCACACTTGAAACTTATTAATCGTCGCGAAATTGACACACCATTAGACAACAGAGAAGAGTAGGGAATAAAAAGTGATGGGTATGACCCAAAAGCGATAACGATGTAAAGGTTGTATTTTTATTTATTTTTTCACATTCACTGGTAAAATAACAAAAAGGGTACCGTTGATTTGAACATTACCGTAGGAGCTGAAGGTCCTGGAGGGTGCGGGGAAGCTTAAGGAAACTGTAATCAGAATCGGGCATGGTGAGGTAGACGCAGAGAATGCCTATAACGAAAACCATAGCCACCATTGAAGCCACCGTTGCTTCCCAAAAGGTCAACGGAAACTTGGACGGCGCCGGTTGGTCCACCACCGTGGTGACACCCTCCTTCTCCATCTATGTTTTTTTTTTTTTTTTTTT